TGCGGGTCAAAATGCGGCCGCACAGCAAATAGTGGGAAATTGAGCAGTACAACCGGGGGAAACAGGAGACCAAGGGCGGAACAGCTGCTTTTGTGGAATCGGTCATAGTTTAGTACAGCTTTATAAATGTTAATTCAGACCACAGTATTCTGAAAAATACCTTGAAGGCAAACAGACTCAAGGATACCTGCTGCTGTTCACATAGCCTCAGATGTGTCCAGCAAGGAACAAAGGCACAGAAGGATGAAGAAGAGCAGAGACTGGATTTATACCCCACCCTTCACTCGGAGTCTCAGAGCGGCTTACGAACTCCTTTTCCTTCCCCTCCCCACAACGAACACCCTGTGAGATAGGTGGGGCTGAGGGAGCACTTTCCAGAAATGTTCTTTCAAGAACAGCTCTGACAGAACTATGGCTTGCCCAAGGTCATCCAGCAGCTGCAAGTGTAAGCATGAGGAATCAAACCCAGTTCTCCCAGATTAGGGGCCACGTACTTAACCACCACACCAAACTGGATCCTTTAAAGATTTATAGTCCATTATTCTCATTTTGTGATTTTAGACAAGAACTTTTATAAAGACAGAATAATCACCATTTTCAGAATAGTCTTACATCCTTAAATGGTGGTTAATAATTAAAACCCCCCCCCCACATCAGCAAGATTAGATATGCAACACTTCATGCCTCCCAAAATCTAAACTAAAATTTTCAGCAAGCAGGGCACATTTTGGTATCATTAGTTCTGTGGCCGCAAAGGCTGCCACCCACCAAGAACTGTCTGCTGATATGCAAATTTTTATTCATTTCAGGGAGTGATTCACACAAAGTTAAAACTGTCTGCAGCCTACATAAGAGGGAGAGCAGGGTTTCCCACCTAAGCTACCTCAAAGTATTTGACATCCTTGCACTGGACATAAAACTTAGGTAGAGAATCATATCTGTAGTGTGCTTTTAAAAAGGATACTAAGAACACATAGGCCAGCTGGAGATATAGTCCCTGGAGAAAAGAAAGCAAGGTATAAGAGTCTAAAATAAACTCAATAAATAAATTGCTGAACATTGTTTGTAAAAGGCTAAAAGGGGAAGGAATACAAAGAAATAAAATTTGGCTTAACAACTGTCTTTCTGGTTGAGGTCCCATATGCTGGGTGTGTGTGTGTGTGATCCCTCTGCATCCAGCACTTTGGTGTGGGTACAATAGATGTTGATTGCCGCCTGCTGATTACCTGGAAGGTCTTATCCCAGGCACTCTCTCCCACCCTCCTTTCTCAACAGGTGACCACCACTGTCACAGCTGACGATGGCTTCCATCTGCTCAGCACAGAAGATCCTGTTATGTACAGTCGGCCCGTGGCTCCACATGAGGGCATGTGGGTTGGTACCAACAGGTATCAAATAAATCTATTTTACATTCAAAACACAGGTTTAGATCATGGCCAACTAAAAATGGATTCTAAATGCATCATGGAAAACTTGATACCGTATCTACCCGCAAAACATGTATGTGAATATAACATGACCTGCCCCCCCTTTGTCTTGACAGTACACCTGAAAAAAAAATCCTACTCTTCCTTTTGGGTAAATACATTAGTGTGTATAGCTCATCCTAGCAAATTTAATGCAAAAAAATCCCATAATCTAGGCAAAGCAAAGTACTTGGGAGCAGGAAGGAGGAGGAGAAGTGTTCAAACAAAAATATCCATTTTACAGAGCAAATTTTAGGCAGACTGGGATTATTTACTTATTTATTTATTATTTATTTCCCATCTTCTTATTTAATCTTATCCCTAATATTTTGCTGCCTCTTCTTGTCTCATGGCTCTCTATACCAGCTTTTTTGCCAAGGTTTTAAAAGTTAGTTCTAGAAGTTACATTCTATTACCCAGTACAGCACATGTTATGTTAACCAAACTTTTTCACCCGGCACCTTACATTTGGAATCTGAAATCCCAAACAGCTATTTATTTACTAATCTTGTTTGGTCATACAAAAGCCATCTACTCTATTCATTTCTTATAATTTCGAGTAGTGTTTACAGGATGTACGGCTGCAATACTGCCTCATAAGAGGGTATCAGTGGTGACAGAATAAAAAACAGCGGTTTGACTTGATAAAAACGACTGTCTCCAAGTTCATGCAAACAATGCTGCAGTCCAAACAAGGCAAATTCAGGAAGTAAAGCTGGACAACATGGTGATTTACTAACTATGGCAATTCACTCATAGCCCATTGCCACTAACAAATCACAACAGTATCCTAATAAAATAATACAGTTCAAAACCCACTCTTTGGCTGGCTTCATAAAACTAGCACCAAAAAAGTATCTTAAACAAGAAAAACCTATGGAAAGCTATGTTGCTTAGCAACCAGCTTTTCGTTGCTAGGATGCACTCCTTTAACAAGCCATCATGAATGCTAGCGCAGCGCAAGAATAATTTGGTAGGAACAAAGCCTATGAAAAAAGACGGGGACTTAAGTGCGTCTGGTATACCCTCAGAGAACAATGAAGCTGCCAAACCAATCTGGAAGCTCCGACATCATTGTTCCATAAACCCTGCAATCTGCTCTGACTAGAGGAAGTATATTTAATGGGCAACACTTTTAAGCTGGACTGAAAAAGTTTAGGACGGCTCATGTATCGCAATAGTAATACAGTGAGATAATGGGTCACTCACCAAATCCAGGCACTGTGAAATGCTGCCTTGGCACTGAACGTTACACTACCTGGAAGCAACTACCACTGATATAGTCAGATGAACTTGCATATTTATTATCAGGGAATAAGTGTTTTTTTTGTTTGGCGACAGATGCAGACCAGGAAAGGAAGCTGACATTGGCAAAAGTTATTATCTCTAGAGAGGCTTAATGTATAGAGACCTTGCAAGAGATGTCAGAGTGAGTCACTGATTATTTAGTGGGAAAGCACGTAGCACTTACCAAAGTAGGCACTGTAAGCTGCAGTTTCAGACAGACATTACAAAAAAGTTTTTGTAATTAATGTTTAAGTCACAAGCAACAGAAACATTTAATATAGCACAGTTTCACACTACCTTACAACAGAAACAAAGAAACACATTTCATAACATGCTTCCTTTCTGACCTCATACTGACTTGGAATCACTGTTTACAATGAAATACACTTTAAAGCATCCTTAAGATCAGAGCCTGATCTTTTCTGAACATTAAAGAGAAGAGGTAAAAGAGGTTCTCAAAATGAGCAGACAAAGCCATGGGTTCAAGCACAGAACTTTAAGGCAGTTATTTTATTTTAACACCCACGGCAAATCAAAAGACAAGACCTGATGATAACCACCATGTCTTGTTATCTCCAAAATATTATTCCCATTAGCATGTAAGTAGTCTACACTTATACATTTTATCTCTTCATACAAATGTGGCACCCACAGTGTTATGAAAGAAATCTGTAGCTGCACCACTACAAGCCATTAATCTTTAGAAACAACATCTCCAAGTGATGCACTTTAGAGCATATGCACTACACCCATTAAAAACTTAAGGAACAAATAAAAGGAAAGGGATGTGGGAAGGAAAATGCTAAGTAATTGTCTTGAGGCAAGTATTGAAAGAGGCCTTATTAAGAGATCATGAGATGCTTAAACTTGAATGAATTTACACTGATATACCCTAGAAACACAACTTGTAGGTTGATTCACTTGCCACAGGTTTTATTTCAAAGCTTGCCTCTTGAGAGATACACACACACACACACACACAAATCATTTTAAAAACCAACTTCTAAAAAAGAGTAGGTAGAGTCCTTAGAATTATGTGCAACTACTGTACTATCTTCTCTCACCTTCAGCATTCCAGACTCAGTAGCAAGCCTCCTTCCTATAAAACAGCTATATTAGGAATCTCATTAAATGAAAGGTTTTGCAGAAGTCCAAAAACCTGTGTTCATTTTAAATATGCATGATTTAAAAGAGAATATGTGGTAAGCAGTCTAAGTGGCCAAGACATCATAACAACACAAATCAAAATACTGAATATGTCATAAATATCTACTACAAGAGTTTTTATGTATTTAATTACCATTGTATTTCAGAGAGTGATGCAGACAACAGCCCTCACTCTAACAAAGGAAGGATGTCCCGTTGAACAGATTGGTTAATGCTCTGGGGCAACAGATGTCTACTGGAACTGCAGGAGACCAGCAACTGGTGGCCTGCCCATCTTCTGAAAACTTTCAATAGACTTATGCATATGTTCACACAATAGGGCATGTGGTAGAAATGCAAACCTCTTTTTAACCCTTTCACATGCCCTTCTACTCATATAGGAAGGTCTTTGCTTTTATGGAGTGTTAATTCAAAGAATAAAATGTTCTTCCACCATACAGCTGAACCCAAAATGCAAAACAGACTTAAAAAAAGTAAATCATGAACTCCAGAAGAATACAACAATAAATTGTATATACACACAACATGCAGGTTTGAAGTCACAAAAAAATACCACTGATGTTAATGGTGAAATTGACTTTGATTTTAACGAAGGTGTGACCTTTGACTACATCACATGCTACAAAGACAAATGAAGTTAAGTTAGGTCACGAGAGCTGTCCCTAATATAACTAAAGTTCTTCCTAGCCTTGTACCACTAGTTCATGTTATCAAAACGGGGCAGAATTTTGAAGGCCAGTGGCCAATTGAATCTTAACTTGTCAAAGACTATAAAAACTCAGTGGTAATAAAAAGTTCTTATTGACCATCACACATTGGCAAGCTTCTGGTAATCCATCATTTCTGATTTTCTTATGTTAGTTCACTGATATATCAGATGAAAAGGACACATTTTTAAAGGATTGGGGTGGGGGGGTGGGATTCAGCTTCTAAAAACCTTGGCACATTTTCTGCTTTTCTAATGTGGATTGCCGATGAACATCCTGATGGCTCAGAAAAATAAAATTACCAGCCTTGGTAAAGGCAAGCCTAAATACTTACGTTAACTGGAAAGCGCACTGATATTGGTTTCTTGTAGCAGTTCCACAAGCAACTCCTTAACACGACTTCAGCTGCAAACTTCCAGGCAGGCAAGCGGAACAATGAGTGGTTGACCAGATGGAATGGCAACGGCTTTGCTTAACCTATTACTGAGCAGAACGGCGACCAATCACAGGCCAGAAAAGGCTCACAATTAGTTGGCCAGGCAGATGCAAGGCAACCTCCCCACCCTGCGTCAGGTTTGTAGGTTTCTAAGAGAAGCAAGTTGATGTCATTCTCAGGGTCTGCCCCGGGCAGCATGTGTATTAACGAGGGGTGTGCAGCAACAATAGGCCATACAAAAGAGACTAGCAGGCAGCTGCTGTATGAGAGCCAGAGTCATTAGGGAGCAGGCTGCCAACAAGAAACACCTGGCCTGGGCAGACTTCGGCTTTTCCTCATTGTTTCTAATTCATGAAACAAAGAAAGGGAATTATTTTTAAGTAGTAAAAGTTGCAAGGTTCTACCAGAAAGAACTAAACAAAAAAACCCCAACCCACAGCTTATTCTGTTGCAAAGAATATTTCACTTTTATTTGGGGGCAAAGGGGGAGGCAGACAGAGAAGCAACAATACCGGAATATTAGCATAATTATACCTGTGTTCTTCTCCAGCTTCAAAAAGTGAAATCAAATTGAGGGAATTAAAAAGCAGGACAGGGAATTACTTCCAAAAGTGTTTGATTTTTTGAAGCGTTTGTTTGTGTTTTCATAAAAGACTACAAAACCTCCGTTCATGCACTGCATTGTGTATCAGAGTAACTGCATTTGAGTATCAATGGAACTGGGAAATGACAGATGACAACTGTGGGGGATATCACTTTTAGCAATCTCATTATTGTGAGGTTTATAACAGCTTGGGGGGGGGAAATCAACAAATGTTCAGAGGGGGAAAAGTTGTAATAATACTACAGGGAATCTACTTATTCCATTTTATCGTGTTTAATACATTTGCGAGAGACTCGATGATTTGGTGGATATATTATTAACCTCAAAATCTACCTGCATTCAGGCTGATTTAATGTTTCGGTCACAGGCAACCAGAAGAATAAAATCGACCTGTACAGAAAATACAATTTTGCACTTTTTACAGGTAGAACACCATCACCAAGGAGAAGTCCATTCTAACAAAGCCTATATAGTTTTTTCACAAGAGCCTTGTTTGTATTGCCGATTGGGTGTCCACACTAAGTTTGGCATCGGAATGAACAATATAGAAGTATATTAAACAACTTTTTGGCAATGTTCTACAGACAGATACAAAATACTAGAAGAAACCCTATAGAAATAACCATTGCCTCTTCATAGGCACAGAAGAACTACTGGGAAATAGTTCAAGTTTATTTATACGGTCAAGCGACCAGCCAATATAAAACATTACCTAGAGAAATAATAATGTAAGATACACTATAAATACATAAAATTCAGATGGATTCCTGGGAAATACTGAATAAGACCTCAATGAAGCAGAGAAAACGAACGGTTTACTGTAAGGTATAGCTTAGTATAATCTGTTAAATTTTTGGATTTCAAAGCTATTCAATATAAACCAAAAATTGCTTGTGCAGTTTAATGCACCATACTGGAACATGTATTTTCTAGATATCCATATTTACAAAAGTTAAATAAGCGGCAGAAGTCTACTGTGTTACAGTGCTTCACTTCTGGGGGTGACAGCAGGCGAATTTACAAAGTTGGAAATAAACCATGCATTTCAAAAAGTCTGAAAAATTATTCATAAAAAACCCACCCATGTCTTCAGACTATCATGACTATTCTGAGGTTTTAAATCAGAAACAGGAGGAGTCTCCTCTCTTACTTCTACCACTGTGAGCACAAAGAAAAAGAGAAAACGACCCAAGAACACAGCAGGAAGCCTGATCTCCAGTACTGGATTAAGCTTCTTTGCAAACAGCAAATAAAGGCAGTGATCTGAAAAAGCTAATCAGTCCCTGCTGTGGTATTTAGACTACCTCAGTTACTGGTATTGGATAATGTTAAGCGTATTAAAACAGCTGTAGGTGAAATAAGGAAGCCCTGTCTGGTTTGCCCAGTTGCAAGCACCATCCTGCAATCTACCCAGCATCATTTTTGTTAGTCTAGTTGTTGCTAGGTTCCCCCCCCCCCGCCCAGTAGTTACAAGACTATTTATTTTGGTATAGAGGGCCAAAGGACAAACATAACTTTAAAAGCAACAACAAGAAGTGAACTGAGGAGCTCAAAGTATTAAATGTTTGATAACATCTATTTCAGGAGATTTGCCTAACGTATCTCTGTGCATTGAACATAAAGTTATCATCTGCAGAAATCACTCCCGATGCAGATTTACAAATAGCACTTTGTCCTATATACATATACTAGGAAAAAGGCCCGTTGTGGAAATAAATACAACGATCTCTAGAAAGAGGCTCTGGGCGGGTGCCCCGGCCTTGGACACTCAGTGTCAATTTGCTGTGGCGACCTCAGCAGGGTATAATGACACTGAGTCCACCATTTTCTCCAGAGGAACTGATCTCTGCTACCTAAAGAACAGTTGTAATTTTGAGTGATCTCCAGCCCTCACCTGGAGATTGGCAATGATGGTTCCCCAGAAGGGAATGGTTGGTTTGGAGGGTGGAGTCTATGGCTTTGTACCTGTCCGAGGTCCCACGCCTCCTGAAAACTCACCCTCTCCAGGCTCCATCCCTCACATCTCCAGGAATTTCCTACCTGGGATGGCAACCCTATCTCATTCCCAGCCAATCATCAACCTACCTTTATTTCCCCCTCACTCTTCAGCTTTCCACCCCCACACACACCTGCAGCCTCTCCCGTTCTCTGAAGCCCTGACTGCTACGTCACATTGGCTGTCATACGGAGGCCACCTCAACAGCATATAAGGATACAGAGCCCACCATTTTCTCCAGGGGAACTGATCTCTGCCATCTGGAAAGCAGTTGTAATTCTGAGTAATCTCCAGCCCTCACCTGGAGATTGGACACATTTTACCTCAGAACAGCAAACTGTTTAGAATGTTAGAGGCAAAAGCCAATCAAGTCACATATGCAAACGACCTCTGTGTTCTGAGGCAAAGGCCAATGAGGCTGCATATGCAAACAACCTCTGTGTTCTGACTGGCTATGGGGGGGGGAGGAACAGCAAATGTTTAGAATGTTGGAGGCAAGACTCAAGCAATGCAGCCAGTGGATAGGGACAGATTCTGAGTGACACACCAGGGTGCCAACCAATCCCAGAGCGTATGGAATGTTCTAGAGAAGTGCCACCACCATTCGGCTTTTATATATAAGGGAGATGATTTTCACTCTCTGCTTTTTGTATCTGACAAAGTCGGCCCCAACCCTCCCACCCAAAAAAAATTAATGCCATGAAAACCATGTTCATCTTTCAGATGCCGCAGAATACTTTCTTCTAAACTTCTGTAGATATTAGTAAAAGAATGACTTTAGGTACATTTAGTTTAAGTTGCCAGAAAGAGAAATCATGCAAAATCTGATAATTACAATCAGGGGCTTTTTTTTCTGGGCTGCAAAATCTGATGATAATAATCAGGGGTTTAAGCAATGTGCTACAAACTGCTAGGCTCACGAACACTCAAGAATACCAGTGGGATTACTCTAGCGATAAGCAAGTTTCCCATCAGCTCATCTTGTAATTAGTTTTTCTGAGCTTTCTCGAAGAACAATTGGAAAAGGTGTGGGGCTGGTTTAAAAAACTGAGGAAGCTTTGAAAATCTAAGCCTAGTGGAGCTCATCCCTAGCCGTCTTGATAGTTGTTCTTCCCCCAAACAAACCTCCTTGTGTAGGAGGATGGGGAGCAACTGAGGTGGGG